TGTAGTTAGACCCCAATTGAAGTGCCAGTGTGACTTTCACCTCTTAGAACCTCTGTTTCCTCAGTTGTAAAAGGGAGGACAATAATAGTACGTGCTTTACAGGGTCGCTGTGCAGATTAGATGAGATCACTCTAAAACAGTACTTTGCACAGTGCCTCGCACAGACGGTAGTATGAATATTACCTATTATTTATTTATACTACCGATTTGTATTTATCTATAGTTTATAGGTAAAATTGCTCCATGATAATCTGCTTCCGGTGGACCCATTCTAAGTAGGGACAGCCCATTTGCCTCTTCCCATGTGACCTCTGTTCAGATAGGAAACGTAAGGCTCAGATTCATATTGGTTTATGGGGCTGGGGACCTGGAGTCCAAAGACTCCAGGAGTCTTGGCTCCACCAGTGACTTATTAGGAACTTAAGTTACTGAGTCCCTTTGAGTCTCAGTTTCTCCAGATGTAAAAGACTAGGCTCATATTCTCCACTTCGTAGGGTTCTTGTGGGATAAAGGACTTGGATCTCAACAGGTCTGGGAATTCAGACCTGCTTTAGTGAGACTGGAGCATCAGCTTCACCAATGGAATCTGCCACCAGGGGGCAGGCTTGCTACATCCAAGTTCCCATTTGTCCAAAATACTCATTTCCTTTTTTGAGCGTGATTGTCTTAACTTTTTTATTATGGAAAGAGTCCAACATACACAAAAGTAGAATGGTATAATAAGCCTCATGTTCCCAGCACTAAGTTTCAACAACTATTGTGGGGAAAAGAAAGAGATCAGCCTGTTACTATGTCTATATAGAAAGAAGTAGACGTGAGAGACTCCATTTTGTTCTGTATTTGAGATGCTGTTAATCTGTGACCCTACCCCCAACCTTGTCCTTGCAAGAGACATGTGCTGCGGTGACTCAAGGTTTAATGGATTTTGGGCTGTGCAGGATGTGTCTTTGTTAAACAAGTGCCTGAAGGCAGGCCACTGACTCAGCATGGGCAACAGATGCATAGATACCTCATCTCAAAAATAAAAAAAAAGGTATTTTTTAGCTCGTCTGCGAAAAGGCCTAGATAGGCAAATGACAATCAGTTGGCATCAGATTTAGGACTCTCTAAATCCATTAGAGGAACCATGTTCGGGCCAGGCTGTGTCCACCCAGCCCGCAACACCCTAGTGCACAGATTAGAATTCTAAATACATTTTCCAGTTTCAAAAAAATGAAAAATATTTAAAAGTCATTGACCAACCTTAAATCACTAAAATGTTTTAAGGTTATGTCTATTCTAAACACAGTCCTGGAAATTGAGTTCTTGTTGGACTTGATGGCTAGGGGGATAGGAGGATATGGGAGATAGGGGTCCTCCTGGGCCCCTTCCTCGACAAGCTCCTGTGTCTTGAAGGATTGGGAATCGTACTAATGGCCCTTTAAATTCCAGAGGCTTGTGGGGGCCACTAACAAATGTCTTGACATATTACCCACCCTGTGTTTCTGGATTCCCTATAAGAGATCATAGTGCCTGGCAGTTGGTGTCGGCCTTTTGGTTCATGTAAGTTCAACAGTGTGGCTTCTCCACCAATATTTTCTGTGGCCGGTTGAAAAAAAATATATAAAAAGGTCGGGTGATGTGGTCACCTAAGGTTTTCCAAGTTTGGGAGGCCGAGCAGTCAGATTTACCTGAGGTAGAGTTCGATGCAGCTGTATGGTTGAAACCCATTCTAATTAAAAATAAAAAAAAATTAGCAGGGTTGTAGTGGGTAGCACGCCTGTATGTCTCCAGCACTTAGGAGGCTGAGCGGAGGATTGCTTAAATCGCTGGGGAGTGATGCCTTGCAAGTGATGCCGAGGATCTTGCATCTCTGCACTCCCAGCCTGTGTGACAGGTGAGGACCTGTTCTCAAAAAAGAAATAAACAGACAAGCAGAAAGAAGAAAAAGCAGGCGTAAAAGCCTTATGGAAACCAAAATCTAGATTACCAGTG